TGACATATGAGAGGTGTAAACATCAATACATGAATGAATGTATTCATATTCTGCTAGGAAAAACTTTTGTAATGAGGCCGGGCCTGGTAGCTCATGCCGGTAATCCTAGCACTCTGGGAGGCCGGAGTGGTGGATTGTTTGAGCTCAGGAGTTCGAGACCAGCCTGAGCAGAGGCAAGACCCTGTCTCTACTATAAAAATAGAAAGAAATTAGTTGACAACTAAAATTATATATATATATTATATATATTATATATATATATATATTAAGAATTAGCTGGGCATGGTGGCACATGCCTGTAGTTCCAGCTACTCGGGAGGCTAAGGCAGGAGGATCACTTGAGCCAGGAGTTTGAGATTGCTGTGGTAGGCTGATGCCATGGACTCCAGCCTGGGCAACAGAGTGAGACTTTGTCTCAAAAAAACAAAAAACTTTTGTAGTGAGATTATATGAATGATTCTAAAACCTGCCTTAAATAGCTAAGAAATGTTTTCCTCAAACCCCACCATATGGTTCCACAGGTCTGTGTTTATATTTGTATTTAGAATACTTTGGTCAAAATGTTGACACTCTTTTATAATAAGTTTCTAATTACAAAAGAAACATCTAACTTAACAAGTGTAACTCAAGGTATTTAAATAATTCTCGACAGTATTCTAAGGCTTCCATATTATTCAATGGATGATACTTTAATAAAACAAGGAAATGTTTCATGCTCCTTCTTATTACCATCCATCATCCAACAGCTGTAAAATCACCAGCTGCTACAAAAATTAAAAAACCGAACTAAATCAGTCTACTACAGATGCAAACAGAAAAATGTTTAAGATCTCTTCACATAATTTCTGGGATCTGGACAAGCTGGAATCAAAGTAAAGTTTTGCTTGCCACAAAACTCCTAGCCTTGTAAACATGTCAAATGGCACGTAAGCCATGAGTTATTCTTGTCTTTATTGAGGAAGAAGTGTATGAGGGAGAAAAGTAAAATAGAAGCGGTGAGATAAGACAATATAATAGCAACAGCAATGTAAGTAGTCTACCATACCCTAGGTACTGGCCATCACACTTTTTAATTCTCACAATAACTACAGAAGGTAGACATTATTCTCATTTTATTAGGAAACTGAGGTTCAGTGAGACTGAGTAACTTGGTAAATGCTGTGGTGAGTCAAATTCAGGTATGTTTGACTCCAGAGCTAGGGCCTTAATCATTGCACTGTTCTGCTTTCCAGCAAAATGGACAGATGAGGAAAAATTGGACTGACAGAATAAACGGAAGGAATCTGGGAAGAAGGGCAACATGGGGACAATGGTGCTACTTTAAAAGACACAGGAGAAATGTTTTAAGGTAAATGGGGCTGCCAATTTGTATCCCTTTTCCTACTCTTTTCTCCCAATGAAAGGAAATGAACCTAAAATCTTATGTAGCTTAAGAAACAGACTAAGTATTGTTTCCATCAACTTTCCTAGTTTGCTATCATTCAGCCACCAAAAATTGAAGCCCACAGAATCACATTCATTAACTCATTGCTCATCCTAGCAACAATGTTAGCCACAGATGAATTGGTATAGTCTATAAAGCGATGGTTCTCACATGTTAGCGGGCCTCAGAATCACTTGGAGGGCTTGGTAAACTTAGATCCCTGGGCACCACTTCCAGAGTTTCTGATTTAGTAGATCTGGGGCGGGGTCTGAGAATTTGCATTTATCACAAGTTACCAGGTAATGCTAACTAAGGCTGCTGGTTCAGGGACCACACCTTGAGAGCCACTGCTCTAAAGAAAAAAATTGTGCTAAAGAAAGTTAGATTTGTACGCACATATCTATGATAAGCTGACCTGCAAAAGAATGGCATTTCTTAAGAGGCTACCTTCCATTCTGCAGGTATAATTTGTGAATGCAGTTACTTACAGCTGTATACAGAAAATGAATGGTGTCTAGAGACAAGCGAATGTGAGCAGGGAATTGTCCCTATGGCTATGTTCTTAATAAGGCAAAAGATTATACTTTTAATGTGCAGTTTGCTCAGTGAAGGAATCACAACAGCAAGAACATCACATTCAAAAGAGGCAACCATCTCCAAATTTAATACCAGCTCTTTACAATCCAGAAAAAACAAAATGCACCTAAGCTTAGGGGTGGAAAAAATCTGAAACCAGAATCATTTACATTTCCAACCACAGCCTCCACTGGTCCAATGGCTTATGCTTTCTTCTTCTTCCTCCTCTTTTTTTAAAAAAGAGTAGAAACAGCAAGAATTTTCATGGAACTGGATCCCTGGAAGTCAATGTTGTCTTGGCGACTGAGGCTGTTTTTCACCCCTTCCCTGACCCTCACTCCAGGTTTGGCTTAGCCTGGCCCGGTGCAGGCATATGCTTAGTTACAGCACTAGAGGCTGCTGCCACTGCTGTGGAAACTGAAATCAGTATGAAAACAGGGTAGAAGAATGTCAGAAAACTAGTATTATTTTAAAAGGAAATTGCCTCCAATTTCAGAGCAGCCCGAGATTAGTAAGGAAATGAGGTTTCCATCCTACAGCGTCTTCTAGGATGGAGACTTCTCATTCTAACATCCTTTTATAATGGAAAAACACTTAGTATATAATCCCCTTTACTTGGTTATCGAGAACCTCTTTACAGGCTGATAATTTTCTTGCTGGCAGAATATTGGATGAATAGTTGTATTTCAAGGCTTCTGCAAATGTCTCTGTTTAACTTGAATAATTATTCTTTGTTGAATTTTACAGAATGAAGAGAAACGTCTAGAATTTTTCCTTTCAGCCCTAGAAAGTGTTGTTAACTCTTTGAAAGTTTATATTCAGAGGATTTACTTTAAAAAAATAAACTATTGCTTTTAAATGCATATGCATAAATGTTTTATAAGGCTCTTAAGAACTCCTACAATTTAGTGTGGTTGATCAGAGCCAATCAGGTTGTCTCACGGGTCCTTCACTCCACAAATATTTTTTGAGGGCCCACTCTGTGCTGTGTTTGGGGGGCCTCAGGGCCTATATCTGTCCTTTTGCTCAGGACTCCACTCTGAAGTGGTCCTGCAGGGCTTAGATTATAAGAGACAGTTGAGGAAGCAAAAGGCTTGTATGCTTTCCTTTCACTAATTCACTAAAATATAACAGCAGAAATTTATGAGCCCTCTACCTCACATAAACTTTCTTGTTTACAGTCTAGTGGGATGACATGTGACATGTCTTTAGAATATCTGGGTTATTCTCTATTCTTTTTGTGTGTGTGTGTGTGAGAGACAGGGTCTTACTCTGTTGTTCGAGATGAAGTATAGTAGAGTGATAATACCTCGCTGCAACCTCATATTCCTGGGTTCAAGAGATCCTCCTGCCTCAGCCTCCCAATTAGCTGGGACTACAAGCGCAAGCCACTGGGCCTAGCTAATTTTTCTATTTTTAGTAGAGACAGGGTCTCACTCTTGCTTAGGCTGGTTTCAAACTCCTGACCTCAAGCAATCCTCCTCCCTCAGCCTCCCAAGTAGCTGGGACTATAAGCACAAGCCACTGGGCCTAGCTAATTTTTCTATTTTTAGTAGAGACAGGGTCTCACTCTTGCTTAGGCTGGTTTCAAACTCCTGACCTCAAGCGATCCTCCTGCCTTGGCCTCCCAGAGTGCTAGGATTACAGGTGTGAGCCACCGTTCCTGGCCAAGTGTTATTCTCTATTTGAATCATACCTGAACCCAATTAATTGGAATACACCAAATTATCCCACCCTTTATTTGAAACAATGCTGTCTTATGTCAAAGATCCTTCAGTGTCTGGAAACTAGTAGGTATTTGTTAAATTAATGCTTCATTTTCTTCAATGTTGGGAGCTCTAGATTCATTTCTAGAAGTAATAGCAAGCACTGTTTCAATTTTTTGTTTTTTACCCTCTGGCTACTGTCCTAGTCATTGTAGTTACCCCAATGCTGCCCTGGCGACTCAGCCTAGCCAGCACACACTGTCCTGCTAGCTAACCAGAATGTGGCCCCGGCGGTCCTATCCTGTATAAGAGCTGGGAGAAAGAAGAAAGAATGTGAAAGTCTTCCCTTTAACACAGTAAGGATACTCTGAGGCCTTTTAAATTTTCTTTATTTACTTTCCCTTGTTTTGCTCAGAAATATCAGAGCAAGATACAAAATTAAGGAATTGGCGTGCTCTCCTCTTTCCTTCTTCTTGCCTACTCCCCATCCACAGCTCTGGGTGTGTCACAACAAGGTGCTTGCTGTCTGAGCCACTCTGCACCTTTTATGGAAGACGGTGAGGTGAGGACAAACAATGGCACTAATTTTCATCATCGTCCTATTCCTGCGTTTCTGTCATTCAGTCAAATACCTACTGAACCCCTACTCTGGCTCAGGTAAGGCACCTGGTCCTGAGGATATAAAGATCATACAGTCCCTGTCCTTAGAGAGTTCATGGTCTCCTGGGGGATGCAGACAAGTGAAATCAGAGGAAAGCACAAGGAGCTGTGTGAACCCAGAGGAAAGAGAGTTTAACTCTGCCGTGAGGTAAAAGGGGGTCAGGCCACTCCTCACAGAGGAGAATTATTATTCATTCTACCACTGGACAGCAAAGATACCAGGCATTAAATTGAGGTTCTTATTTTTCTCACTTTAAAATCAACTCCACAATGGTCCCCATTTACTGTCAAAGCTGGTTTCTGTGTGATAATGCCACTAAAATGATTATGCCAACCTTTCACTGCTGCTCACTTTACACTTTATATCTGAAGGTCATGGTACTAAAAACTGGCATGGGTGTTTTCCAAGGTATCTAGTTATCATGCTTGACTATAATTCTAAAACTGACGATTAAGAAACAAGTAAATAGGCACTTTATAGGATGGGTATTGAGTTGGAGGAGTGGATGAACAGAGGAAGAAACAAGAACACTATATTAGGCACATGCCAACTCTCAGGGAGCTTAAGCTACCTACGTACAAAGCTGAAGGTAACTTATGATTTGTTTTTCTTAGGGGAGGATTATTTTACCTACCACGTGGAATGCTCCTGGGGCCTTGACAGGTCTGAAGCCATCAACAGGTACGCATTGATCAGCATGGCCGTTGCAGAAGCAGCTCCCCTTGACAATGAAATCATAGATTGCATAGTGTGTGAAATGTTGAGGCTTTTCGTTCAGGTCATTTCTCTGACAGGGACAAGACTGTCGTTTTAGCAGCTGCACACGGAGGTTGGTGATCTTCAGCTGCTCCTGAACTTTGGCACTGTAAGGGTTCTCTGTATTGTATGGTGGTGACAGAGCTTTGAAAATAACCTGTAAGGAGAAAAAAAAAATACCATAGGTTTATATGATTGTGTGCAAACCCCGAATTGTTTGTCCAATGTAGTCCCGGTTTGATTTGTACCTTTTGTCTTCTGCTAGTAATAAGATAACAAGAGAGTTTTAGACCTTGAGCACACCTGGGGAAGAGCTGCTCTGTTATTCTAAGCAGCAGATGTTCCGTCTGTTTGCGTATAGAAGAAGTACACGTTGAGTAACCAGCAGAGACCTGACTCTTGAAAGGAAGGCATGCAAAGATCTTGGGGTAAGGGGATTCTAGGCAGAGGGAACAGAAAGGTTAAAGACCTTGAAGCAGAGTCAAGTTGGCATGTTCAAGGAAGAATGACTAGGTCAGTGTGACTGGAGACACAGAAGGAAAGTGGCTGGAGAAGGCACAGAACAGGAGTGAGGCAGATGTGAATGGAGCCCTTTAAAAGCCACCGTTGAGTTATTCTAACTGTAGTGAAAGCCACTAGGGGGTTGTAGGCAGAGAAGTGATATGATCTGATTTATATTTCCTAAAAAGATAACTTTTTGGATATAAAAATGTCATTTTGGAAATTAGTTTTACACCAGAAGTATGAAGAGGCAAGAATCAACTGTGTAGGATCACATCTCCAGGACTACTGGTACAGAACTGCCCTCAATAAAATATAACTTTGGGGGAGTGGGGAATGATTCACTGGACACTTGGCCTCTACAGCCTGTTCTCCGCCCAGTAGCCAGAGTGGTTCTCCATAAACACAAGCTGGATCACATCCCTGCCTTGCTTAAACCCAGCCCTACCCAAAGACCTCCCATATTCCTCAGAATAAAATGCAAAGTCCTTATAATAGCCCAATGGCCTGCTTGATTTTTGTTCTTAGTACTTATTACCACCTGACACATTATATTTGTAACTGTTTATAATTTACAGTCTTCCCAGTCTAGCATGTAAACTGCATGAGGGCAGACACTGGTGTGTCCCAGGACAGTGCCTGGCACATAGTAAGTATTCAGTAAATGTTTGGCAAATTAATTAATTACAACATTGTTCTTGTCATGTGTTAATACGTGAGAACTCCAAATAACCTAGCTTCCTTATCCTAAGAGGGTCCTAAACAGATTCACATACTGAATTTCATGTTATAGCACCAGAAGATGAGAGGCAAGAATTTGTCCTATGACAGTAGTAATAAATAACTGAATAATTACCCAGTGTTTTCTGTTTTTAGCTATTTTTGAACTTTCAAAACTTAGAAAAAGTTGTATCTTAAACTCAAACCATATTCTGTCCCATTTATCCACAGAAAGTGTCAGAAAGTAGCATATTAGGAAATAAAATTTTCCAACAAACAATATGTCCCATATTTGCAAGTCAATATAGAAGTAATGTCTTTTTCCTTAACAACAGCATAAATCAGAGCATGATTTTATATTTTGAAACATTCAACAAAAAAACATTGAATCCATTGTGGGCTTTATATGGGACTTATGTTCAATATGACACCCCAAACACTGTACGTCTGTTAGATAGATATTCATGAGTAACTCTTGCTCTAAATAGTACAAATGATGTGGCTACTCCTATTTTGTCAACCACAGTAATGCAAGGACATGGAAAGGATAATCCAGTGCTAACCAAATAAGTGCTCCACCAAAAAGTCTGTGGTGTATCTCTCCACGTTGTCCACCCACCCTTCCTTTTCCGGAGCATTGGTGGCAACTGTTTGCTCTCTCTGTTCCTGTCACATATTTACCCTTGACATTTACCCCTCCCCCATCCCTTTCCCTCCCCTTTCCATCCCCCACCCCAACCCTCCCCCCGCCACCAATTGTTTAGCACATGCAAAGCTAGAAGAGGATCTGTCAAGGTCTCTAAGAACTTTGAGGCTCTTGTACTTCCTGAGCCCAGACTGTGGAGGCTGAATGGCGTCTCTGTGCTTGGTGTGCATGACACCACAGTTGGCACGCCAATATCAGCAGGGAAGGGACATCATGACCCCTGAGGCTGTGTGCTGGAAAGGAGACAGCAGAGTGCCACAGACACAAAAGTGAACGGGAATTTAAACCATGAAATCTTTTTTCCAGAAAGGAGACGCCTTAATCTGATACCCTGGGAAATGGATCTATCCTGCATCAGGAAACAAAGAGCGCGCCAATCCAGATGCTTCAAACTTCTGGCAGGTCGCCCTTTGGGTCCCACCCAGTTTTTCTTCAAACTTCCCCAGAAGAAGCCTGTATGGCACTACTGAAATGAAGGAAGAAAACATGTGGAAGCCCTCCATATGATATCAGCCTTTCCTGGGTCTGTCCCCATAAGGAACAGGATTTATCTAGGGGACCACCACTGACCCTCTGTGATTGCTTCTGAATATACACTCCCAACAAAATATATTTAAAAAGCCAAGGATCAAGCTTTTTTGACCAAGCATACTTCAATATTTCTGGCTTGTTAGTACTATTGACTTCATGATCTCATTTTCTTAAATTAAGAAATTTTATTATGTTTTAGTAGTTAATATTATGCTCATTACAGAAAAACCTGTCATGCAAAATGTTGAAGATATTAAGTATCTGCAATGTGATATACCCCAAAGACAACCAAGGATACCAACTCCATAGTATCTTTCCATCTAAACTTCTGTATGTATATGTACATACCAAATATAATGTGAACAACTTTGTATACCTTGTGAGTATTCTTCCAAGTCAATATATATACCTCGGCCGGGCGCTGTGGCTCACGCCTGTAATCCTAGCTCTTGGGAGGCCGAGGCGGGCGGATTGCTCAAGGTCAGGAGTTCAAAACCAGCCTGAGCAACAGCGAGACCCCGTCTCTACTATAAATAGAAAGAAATTAATTGGCCAACTGATATATATATAAAAAATTAGCCGGGCATGGTGGTGCATGCCTGTAGTCCCAGCTACTCAGGAGGCTGAGGCAGGAGGATCGCTTGAGCCCAGGAGTTTGAGGTTGCTGTGAGCTAGGCTGACGCCACGGCACTCACTCTAGCCTGGACAACAAAGCGAGACTCTGTCTCAAAAAAAAAAAAAAATATATATATATATACCTCTACATCAGTGGTTCTCAAAGTATGGCCTCCAGACCTTTGGTGTCCTGAGGAAACTTGTTAGAAATGCAAATTCTTGGGCCCTATCCCAGTATCCCAGATCAATTAAATCAGAAACTCTGAGGACTGGCCCAGCAATCAGTGTTTCAACAAGCCCTCCAGGTGATTCTGATGCAAATCAAGTTTGAGAAACTCCGCTACATAATTTTAAAACCTGTTTAGAATCCCGTTGTGTGGATATGGCATAATCTATTTATTTAGGCTGCTATTGTTAGGCAACTGGGTTGTTTCCAATTTTTCAGTAACCAAATACAATGAACAACCTTTTATTAATAGCTAAAAAGTGCACATTTATACAGTAGTCCCCTCTTATCCTCAGGGAGTACCTTCTAAGACCCCCAGTGGGTGCCTGAAACAACAGATAGCACCAAAGCCTATATGTACTGTTTTATCATATATATATAACTATGATAAAGTTTAAATTACAAATTAGGCATAGTAAGCGATTAACAACAATAATAACAAAATAGGACAATTATAGCAATGCTGTAATAAAATTTATGTAAATGTGCTCTCTCTCTCAAAATACTTATTGTACTATTTTTGGACCATGGTTAACTGTGGGTAACTGAAACCTATTACAGATAAGGGGGGAATTCTGTAATAATTTCCTGAAGATACACTTCCAAATGTGAAATCAATGGCTCAAAGGAAATGAATGAAAAATACCGGACCCTCTGAATGAATCCTGACCCCTTTCCTACCTAATCTTTGGAATCTTCACATTTTCCTGGTCTTGCCTTTCTTCTCTAAACCTGGAATCCCTCATACTTTGCCTGAAGAGCTGGATTCTTGGCTCAGGTTCTGCCATTTTTCATGCCCACGTGTAATGGAAAAATCCTTAAAAAGTCCTGAATTGGTTAAAACCCCACCTATATTGTCTTTCTTTTTTAGAATAGTCATCCAAAATCCTGCAATAATAACACTGAAAATTAGTAAAAATAGCATCCTATACATCTTTCTTATGCTGTGACTGAGATGAAATTTAAACAGTATCAACGCAGTGTGAACAGAATAGTTAATACTAGTCCATAATAGTCAAGGAATTATTCCAGAATCGAACTCATAACTTACATTTTGCTTCCTACCTAAAACTTTATTGCCTGTGTTGAATCATAATAATTCAAGAAACTTAGTAATCATATTTTTAAAAATCGTGTTAGCTGCTAGCTTGAGGAATATTTCGGGTCCAAGTTGATCACCCATCCTGTGGACTCCCTTGGAACTTGTTCTTTCCATGACAACACTCATACATTAGTCTGTTGTTGCTGCTTATTTACTTGTCTGTATCTCGCATTAGACTTGGTGCGCAAAGGGCAGGGATCTTGTTTGTCTGGTTAACAGCTGTGTCCCCAGCATGTCCCATAGTCTCTGGCACATTGTAGCATTTCATAATGACTGCTGAATGAATAAATGAATGAACTATTTCTCCAAATATCATTTTAAGAGGAAAAGCCAAGCAAGGAATATGTGTTTAGAAGAATAAAGAAAACAAGAGTGCTTTGCACTATCAATGGGAAATATGTAAGCACACATATCTATGTATAAACACCTATGTAAAAGTAGGTAGTACATTTCAAAATGCTGTATGGATTTCTTCTCTTCAGTAGCACACAAGATATTTCATAGTATTAAGAAAAAAGATCAGGCCGGGCGCGGTGGCTCACGCCTGTAATCCTAGCACTTTGGGAGGCCGAGGCGGGCGGATTGCTCAAGGTCAGGAGTTCGAAACCAGCCTGAGCGAGACCCCGTCTCTACCAAAAATAGAAATAAATTAATTGACCAACTAAAAATATATATATACAAAAAATTAGCTGGCATGGTGGCGCATGCTGTAGTCCAGCTACTCGAGAGGCTGAGGCAGTAGGATCGCTGAGCGGT